ATACGCCACAAATTTACTCCTAACTACACAATACATGATACCCCACAAGTTTACTCCTGACTACACAATACACGATACCCCACAAACTTACTCCTGACTACACAATACACGATACCCCACAAACTTACTCCTGACTACACAATACACGATACACCACAAATTTACTCCTGACTACACAATGCACAATACTCCACAAACTTACTCCTACTACACAATACACGATACCCCACAAACTTACTCCTGACTACACAATACACGATACCCCACAAACTTACTCCTGACTACACAATTCATGATACCCCACAAACTTACTCCTGACTACACAATACACGATACCCTACAAACTTACTCCTGACTACACAATACACGATACCCTACAAACTTACTCCTGACTACACAATACACAATACCCACAAAAACTTACTCGTGACTACACAATACACGATACACCACAAGCTTTCTACACAATACACGATACCCCACAAACTTACTCCTGACTACACAATACACAATACCCCACAAACTTACTCCTGACTACACAATACACGATACCCCACAAACTTACTCCTGACTACACAATAAACGATACTCCACAAACTTACTCCTAACTACACAATACAAGATACCCCACAAACTTACTCCTGACTACACAATGCACGATACCCCACAAACTTACTCCTGACTACACAATACATGATACCCCACAAACTTACTCCTGACTACACAATACACGATACCCCACAAACTTACTCCTAACTACACAATACATGATACCCCACAAACTTACTCCTAACTACACAATACATGATACCCCACAAACTTACTCCTGACTACACAATGCACGATACCCACAAACTTACTCCTGACTACACAATACACGATACGCCATAAATTTACTCCTGACTACACAATACACGATACGCCACAAATTTACTCCTGACTACACAATACATGATACCCCACAAATTTACTCCTGACAACACAATACACGATACCCCACAAACTTACTCCTGACTACACAATACACGATACCCCACAAACTTACTCCTGACTACACAATTCACGATACACCACAAATTTACTCCTGACTACACAATACACGATACGCCACAAACTTACTCCTGACTACACAATACACAATACCCCACAAACTTACTCCTGACTACACAATACACGATACCCCACAAATTTACTCCTGACTACACAATACACGATACCCCACAAACTTACTCCTGACTACACAATACACGATACCCCACAAACTTACTCCTGACTACACAATACACGATACCCCACAAACTTACTCCTGACTACACAATACATGATACCCCACAAACTTACTCCTGACTACACAATACACGATACGCCACAAATTTACTCCTGACTACACAATACACGATACGCCACAAACTTACTCCTGACTACACAATACACGATACACCACAAATTTACTCCTGACTACACAATACACGATACGCCACAAATTTACTCCTGACTACACAATACACGATACCCACAAAAACTTACTCGTGACTACACAATACACGATACACCACAAGCTTTCTACGCAATACACGATACCTCACAAACTTACTCCTGACTACACAATACACAATACCCCACAAACTTACTCCTGACTACACAATACACGATACCCCACAAACTTACTCCTGGCTACACAATAAACGATACCCCACAAACTTACTCCTAACTACACAATACAAGATACCCCACAAACTTACTCCTGACAACACAATGCACGATACCCCACAAACTTACTCCTGACTACACAATACATGATACCCCACAAACTTACTCCTGACTACACAATACATGATACCCCACAAACTTACTCCTAACTACACAATGCACGATACGCCACAAACTTACTCCTGACTACACAATACACGATACCCCACAAACTTACTCCTGACTACACAATACATGATACCCCACAAACTTACTCCTGACTACACAATGCACGATACCCACAAACGTACTCCTGACTACACAATGCACGATACCCACAAACTTACTCCTGACTACACAATACACGATACGCCATAAATTTACTCCTGACTACACAATACACGATACGCCACAAATTTACTCCTAACTACACAATACATGATACCCCACAAGTTTACTCCTGACTACACAATACACGATACCCCACAAACTTACTCCTGACTACACAATACACGATACCCCACAAACTTACTCCTGACTACACAATACACGATACACCACAAATTTACTCCTGACTACACAATGCACAATACTCCACAAACTTACTCCTACTACACAATACACGATACCCCACAAACTTACTCCTGACTACACAATACACGATACCCCACAAACTTACTCCTGACTACACAATTCATGATACCCCACAAACTTACTCCTGACTACACAATACACGATACCCTACAAACTTACTCCTGACTACACAATACACGATACCCTACAAACTTACTCCTGACTACACAATACACAATACCCACAAAAACTTACTCGTGACTACACAATACACGATACACCACAAGCTTTCTACACAATACACGATACCCCACAAACTTACTCCTGACTACACAATTCACAATACCCCACAAACTTACTCCTGACTACACAATACACGATACCCCACAAACTTACTCCTGACTACACAATAAACGATACTCCACAAACTTACTCCTAACTACACAATACAAGATACCCCACAAACTTACTCCTGACTACACAATGCACGATACCCCACAAACTTACTCCTGACTACACAATACATGATACCCCACAAACTTACTCCTGACTACACAATACACGATACCCCACAAACTTACTCCTAACTACACAATACATGATACCCCACAAACTTACTCCTAACTACACAATACATGATACCCCACAAACTTACTCCTGACTACACAATGCACGATACCCACAAACTTACTCCTGACTACACAATACACGATACGCCATAAATTTACTCCTGACTACACAATACACGATACGCCACAAATTTACTCCTGACTACACAATACATGATACCCCACAAATTTACTCCTGACAACACAATACACGATACCCCACAAACTTACTCCTGACTACACAATACACGATACCCCACAAACTTACTCCTGACTACACAATTCACGATACACCACAAATTTACTCCTGACTACACAATACACGATACGCCACAAACTTACTCCTGACTACACAATACACAATACCCCACAAACTTACTCCTGACTACACAATACACGATACCCCACAAATTTACTCCTGACTACACAATGCACGATACCCCACAAACTTACTCCTACTACACAATACACGATACCCCACAAACTTACTCCTGACTACACAATACACCGATACCCCACAAACTTACTCCTGACTACACAATACATGATACCCCACAAACTTACTCCTGACTACACAATACACGATACCCCACAAACTTACTCCTAACTACACAATACATGATACCCCACAAACTTACTCCTGACTACACAATACACGATACGCCACAAATTTACTCCTGACTACACAATACACGATACGCCACAAATTTACTCCTGACTACACAATACACGATACCCCACAAATTTACTCCTGACTACACAATACACGATACCCCACAAACTTACTCCTGACTACACAATACACGATACCCCACAAACTTACTCCTGACTACACAATACACGATACGCCACAAATTTACTCCTGACTACACAATGCACGATACCCCACAAACTTACTCCTAACTACACAATACACGATACCCCACAAACTTACTCCTGACTACACAATACACGATACCCCACAAACTTACTCCTGACTACACAATACACGATACCCCACAAACTTACTCCTGACTACACAATACATGATACCCCACAAACTTACTCCTGACTACACAATACACGATACGCCACAAATTTACTCCTGACTACACAATACACGATACGCCACAAACTTACTCCTGACTACACAATACACGATACACCACAAATTTACTCCTGACTACACAATACACGATACGCCACAAATTTACTCCTGACTACACAATGCACGATACCCCACAAACTTACTCCTAACTACACAATACACGATACCCCACAAACTTACTCCTGACTACACAATACACGATACCCCACAAACTTACTCCTGACTACACAATACACGATACCCCACAAACTTACTCCTGACTACACAATACATGATACCCCACAAACTTACTCCTGACTACACAATACACGATACACAACAAACTTACTACACAATGCACGATAGTTTAACGAAAAACAATTGTATATATCAAAGCAGACAAAAATGATGACATTGATAAACATTCCAGGTGTAGAATACATACTGTGGTGTGACATGAATCAGGTGAGCGGGGAAAAACAGGCAAGCGAGCCTGCATATTTGCTGTTTCATTCCTTCTCATCCTTAAGTCTCAAAGGGTTGTTTGGACAATGAATATGCATGAATTTCGCTAAATGACCTGTGCATGGCCAGACTCTTGAGCAGAAGGGATTTCCCTCGACTGTAATATTGGGATTCCCCGACATTCCGTAGTAACAACAGTAGTCCACCTCATTGGACTAGGCTTAATTTTTACATTCATTGGCAAATGACCGCAATAACACGTGACCAATTCAGCTAACCAGAATGCAGGAATTTCAATGAACACAACGAAAATTTAATTATTGCTACGTCTACCCATATGTTGAATCCTGTTTTGAGGCTGTCCTGACTGTTAAAAAATAATAATTTTTTTTTTAACTTTTGCAATAACCCGGCCTAAGTTAGCTGCCTGCCTGCTTGTCTGATGCAATATGTATCACTTGGCTCGAGGCAGCCTGACTGCTTGTCTGTTTGGCTCCTACATTGGAGAAACTGACTGTTACAAAATAGCATATACTACTCAGCACAAAACACCCAACCACAAGTCAAATATGGACACCAGTGTAACAAACATACTCTACCTTTGAATCCAGTTTTTTCTTGACGTAAATATTATAGACAGCTGTAAAGACATCATTGAGTAGAATCATCACATAGCCCATCAGGTCAAAGGCCAGGTCAGTGCTGCAAGCAGGAGGAAATGGAGTGAATCTAAGCCATATCCTGGGTGTATTGTTACAGAGTTTTACAGGTCCAGGACGCACAAGATGGATGCCGGAAAAATAAATAAATATTGCATCTCGAGGGACACACATAATATATTCATCATACCAAATTCTTGATAAACGTCCTGTAATTAAAGTAATCATCAAATCTTACACTACCATTACTACACTACATGATTTCATTACTTTACAGGACCTTCATATTTCCTGTAGGACCCTTGAAATGAATTATTGGGGGTCTCCTACCCCTAAATTTATAGGTCAACCATGTTGATGAAAGAAAAAGGGAGTTGGGTTCATCGCTGCTTTGAAGTGTTCTTCAGTCATCACAGTATGACAGAAACCATACAGGTCTTTGACATTTACCACATTTGCTGTTTGTTTGTTGTTGTTTAACGCCACACACCCGATCCTGTTAGTCGCCTCTCATGACAAGTATGGGTTGCTGAAGACCCTTTCAAACACGGATCTTCACGGGTGGTGATGGTACTGACAAACGAAGAATCAAACTCAGGGAAAATCTGGGATTTGAATGCCTATCAGTGACACTGGAAAATCCAAGGGACACAACTTTGCATGAGCACTGTGGCACTTTTGATGACAGGGCCACTCTGGACCTGTGATGAAAGAGACACTCAAGCTAGCTTGCAAAATAAGTGGATAAATATGGGCAGCCCTTCGGTCAAAACATACATCAATTGAAACAAGAGTCATCAAGATATGACATATCTCCCCGATCTGTGCAATTCAGAAATGGAGTTACTTATATCCCACTTTTGGTTCTTGCCATTGGATACCTTGAGTTCAATGAAGAAATATATAAAGCAGTTCAGTATTTTTCAATATCTCAAATCATCAAAAGGCACCAGTTCACTACTAGACTGGGTGCTGTTGTACAAAACAACCTCAGCGCTACGACTGTTGTAAGCCGGTTAAGGTATGGGAGTAATGACAACCTTAGCGCTAAGATCGCTTTGTACAACAGCACCCTGATCTGTATAGCAATTTTCATGAAGAAATATTCTGCTCCAGAAATTAACACGACCCTTATTTTAAGTCAAAGTTCAACTTGTTGCCATGAAACAAAAACAAAAAATTTAAAAAATAAAAAACCCAAATCATCAAGAGGCATTAGGTAACCACTAGACTGATATTATTATAAGCAAGTTTCGTCAAGAAATTTTTTTTTTTGGAGTTCTGCTCCGGGAACAGAAAGCAGACGGGAAACAGATGGTCTGTCTACATTTGTGAACACTTACACCAACTGTCACATGCAAAAAATACAATGAATTAGTAAGAAAGATTTTACGCCACTTTTATCAATATTCCAGCAATATCATGGAAGGGACACCAGGAAAGGGCTTCACACATTGTACCCATGTGGGGAATCGAACCTGGGTATTCTGAAGGACATGAAAACGCTTCATCAACTGGTCTACCCCATCGCCTTCATTGAATTAGTGACAGCGTGAATGTTGTTACAATACCATGGGCAGCAATATACCAGTTATGTCATCTTGACAAATAAATAACAGCCTTCCTGGTTAATTTGTTCTCCCTGAAAGCCATTTGGCTAAGTGAAAAACCTTTGGAGTCAACTGGTTTTATTTGTAGCAATATTCCATGGCACATTACGTCAGAAAGGCTTCACACATTGTACCCATGAGGGGAATAAAACCCAGGCCTTCTCAATGACAGGTGAATGCTTCAACCACTAGACTACCCAACCGCCCATATTGAATTAGTGAGTGGTTCAATGTTGTTTAACACCCAAGTCAGCAATATTCCAGCTATGTTGCCTTGACATGCACATAAATAAAACCAGTGGTTGATATTATGAGCAACAGTTCATAATGTCAGGGTACAATGACAAGTAGAATATACCTTCCTGCTATAATAGCTCCCAGTATCATCAGCAACACTGTCAACTTCGTTGTTAAGGCAACACTGTATCTATCATGAAGAATAAATCACCATCATCATCATCATCATTCTACAAAACATCAATAACTGGATACCTCACATGCTAATTTTATCATGTCAAATAATACATACACATTCATCAAAATTCAGGGAAAATAATCGTGCTCACAATGTTCCCAATTATACATGTAATAAGGTACAGGAATATAGAAAAACTTTTCTTGTGAAGTGAAAATAGATTATAGTTTTTTTCAAATGATCAGTGCTGAGAACCTTCTTGTTTTATAACTGGTTTTACAAATTACATTTTAAGAAAAAAAGATATCAGGGTCAAAATAAAATATAATTGTAAAAAATACTCTTGAAACAATACTCTTGAAAAAGCATATTTGTTCTTAATGACAAGTCACAGGGTTACCTCCCTTGGCCTATTGATCTTCGAAGGATGTTTTGCATTCATGAAACAAGACTTAGCAGAAAGAAAAGAAAAACATATATGGTTCTCAACATTCATATAATTAGAAGTCAGTAGATCTGTAAGCAAAGTACTTAAAAAAACATCCTAATATGAATGCTTACATGCAATATAATTCACAAATGAACTTGTCTTCCATTTTGTTATTTACAGCAATACCTACCCTAATATCAGGTATTCTCCAAACATTGTGAAAAGAATAGAAAATCTTCTTAATACTGTAAACATGGGCAAACTGAAACGACAACGGTAAACATAGAGACATGGAGTCTGCATGGACAAGTTTCACATTATTTGCAACAAAGATCTATGTTTAAATTACTGTATTCATTTACACCAATCACAGGCATCTTGTAAGACAAGAGTGAGTGAGTGAGTTGGGTCTAAAGCCGCTCTGAACAGTATTCAAGTTATATCACCATATGTCAGCTTAATGTTGGAGGAAAGCCTGAAGTGATGCAGGTCTCAAACATTTACCGCTTTGGTGAAATCAAGGAGCATGGGTTAGTGCTGACAAACCTAGAAACATAATTGTGGCAAACCGGGCACTGAACCCACAATCATAGGTTTCTGGCATGCCCAAGGGAAGCAACTCTGCACAGCGAATTGCGGCGCCTTAGACAACAGGTCCACCCATGGCCCCTTGCAGACAAGATCTGAAAACAGCTGGCTTTAGAAACACTAACAAAATTCCTGAATAGAATGAATGGACTAAACAATCAATTGATAACTGAAATAGTTTAATGCATTTTTGTGATTATCAAAGTGGTGACTAAAAGTTAGCACCACTAAAACTGAGCAGTAGTTGTAAAACTAACTTGAGCCGCTGTGTTCCCCCAAGTCCTGTGAGAAGATTCAGCACATAGATGAGAGGCAGCGGCCAAACCTGCAACACATACAACAGGCATGTAATCCACACATCACCTGGTGAACAGTGAGTGATGGAATGATTGAGAGATGGAATAAGTGATCAAGTGAGTGATGGAACTATTGAGGGATGGAACGGGTGATAGAGTGACTGATGGATTGATCAGGGTGGGGGGAACAGGTGATGACTAAGAATTGAATGATTGAGTGGAGTGGCTGATAGGGTGTTGGAGTGTATGATTGAGGGATGGAATAAGTGATCAAGTGAGTGATCGAACTATTGAGGGATGGAACAGGTGATAGAGTGACTGATGGATTGATTAGGGTGGGGGGAATAGGTGATGACTAAGAATTGAATGATTGAGTGGAGTGGCCGATAGGGTGTTGGAGTGTATGATTGAGGGATGGAATAAGTGATCAAGTGAGTGATGGAACTATTGAGGGATGGAACGGGTGATAGAGTGACTGATGGATTGATCAGGGTGGGGGGAACAGGTGATGACTAAGAATTGAATGATTGAGTGGAGTGGCCGATAGGGTGTTGGAGTGTATGATTGAGGGATGGAATAAGTGATCAAGTGAGTGATGGAACTATTGAGGGATGGAACGGGTGATAGAGTGACTGATGGATTGATCAGGGTGGGGGGAACAGGTGATGACTAAGAATTGAATGATTGAGTGGAGTGGCCGATAGGGTGTTGGAGTGTATGATTGAGGGATGGAATAATAGATGGAGAGTGATAATGAGAAACAGCGTAAATGATGAACACGCAATGGAGTAATGGATTGATAATAGAGTGATGGGGTGAGGGATTGACTGCGCAATGAAGCCAGTGATGTAGTGTGTGATATCAATTTTTAACATCAAACTAATTGTATGGTTTTTTTCCATTTCCCCCATTCAACATGTTCAAACTGTATATTCTTTTCACACCACCACCAGAACCACAGCTTTACATAAGCCTCCAATGATTGCCCCACCGAAACCCACCCTTTACACAAACACCACAGGTCCTTCAATTTCTGTGCACATTTTTTTGCAAAATGCGTGCTGCAATCTGATTGATGAACATGATGAAAGCATTGTAGAATGGGACTGGATCCAAGAAACCACCGCTTATGAATATTTTTGCTATCTTTATTTTTCTAAATAAAAATTCCAAATTTAACCAAAAAAATGCAATAATTATTATATCATTAATTAAGTGTCATTAATATTTATCAGAACAACTTCAATTCAGTTCATTTTTCACCTCAATCTGTTGTCACAGAAGCATGTGACATGACATCATAGCATTCCACAGAGACATAAGAGAAGAGTGCTGGGGAAATTAACTATAACTTTAGCATTTTAAAATTTGTGCATGGTAATTATATTATCTGAATTTTCAAATGGAATTTCCAGGCATCAAATACTCAATAACACCAGTAAATCTGAACTCTGAAATATCAATGCTACCTTTAACACAGTTTCTTTTGACAGGCCTGGAAAATGAACCAGCCCCACCCTCTTTGCAAGGAACAGCACAACAATCCCAGTGACCATCTGAAACACAGAGGAACAATACAGACTCATTGGATTTCACCTTCAAATACAAAATACCATCAATGCTTTAAAAAAGAAATTAGATTAAGGATCCAACAACCCTAAACCTGAAAACCGGGTCAAAAACACAAAAATCTGAAAATCACTATCCTATTTTAATAACACTGACTGCAAACTTACTTATTCAGCACATCAAAAAATAATGCATAACATTTGCTAAGCCGTGTCTTTCATATTTTCCTATCTACCAACCAGGAGCTTTCAGGAAAACATATCTGTAAAATGAGCAACAAAATAAGTCTCGCCATAAAGGGAAGCCCCATAGTAAATCTGAGTTCACTTGTTTCACACACTTGAGCCATACATGACGATCAGAAACAAACAGAAACAAAATCTTCTTGTCTTGACATTTGTACATGTGCTATGAGTTGCAAATCAAATGTCAAAGTTTACCATAACGTTACTATGTTTTAATATGGTTTCTTTGCATCTTTATCACAATTAAATGCATACTGTTGGTTGGTTTGTTGTTTAACGCAACACTCAGCAAAATTCCAGCTATATGACGGTGGTCTATAAATAATCGAGTCCGGACCAGACAACCCAGTGATTGACATCATGAGCATCGATCCACGCAATTGGGACCAATGACATGCATCAACCAAGTCAGCAAGCCTGACCACCCGATCCTGTTAGTCGCCTTTTTACGACAAGCATAGTCGCCTTTTACGGCAAGCATGGGTTGCTGAAGGCCTATTCTTCACGGGTCTAAATGCATACTGGTGACTATTGAGGAATGGTGATAATTCAAACAAGGCTAAACTTTGTTATGGTTACGTCTGTCTACATGGTCTAAATACGTGTTTAATGTAACCAGTGGTAAATTGTGAAATGTCCCCAAAATATCTGGTACTACATGTGTGAACAGGTCAGCCAAAGAGTAAATGAACTTAATTAACATCAGGTACAAGTCAGCCAATTCGTGAATGTGAACAAGCTGACGATAACCCAAATTGATTCCTTTATAACCATTGATAATACAACATAAACAAATCATTAGCTTACACAAAAGTTTGTACACCTACCTGTCCAATAGCTAGTATCTGGAATGAAGGGAACCTGAAAATAATTTTTAAAATAGTAAAACTTGTGAAGAAAACACATATGTGGGTGCGCAAGTGATTATTACTTTAAGACGCATCAACAATTTTTGTTTTATTCAGGTGAAATAACTTGCTGGATATTCTCTGCTCCTTCAAAGAAGGAGAAGAAGGAAATAGTTATTAGTTAGGTACCAATATTTAGGTAAGGAATGACAGTGAGTGTGTCAGCGCCTACCAGCATGATCAGTGACTCGGCGCTTATTACAGGAAACATGGCATATCAGATTGTCAGCTTATGTGTCATAAACGGCCTATATAGGGGGCGTATATTTTTACATAGTGCAATATCGAGTTCCTGTGGATATAACCCACTGTAGAAGGTAACAAGTTCAAACTTACCACTTTAGGTAACCGTGAGCCATGAGGGAGTCTCGAGTCTTTTTGTGAGTCAAGGCAAAATGGCCAGGTGTCATTTTGTATCCCGTAAATTTTGTTACTCTAATGTTGTTATGTTATCCGGAGTGCTTATATATTATACAGTGTATACCTTTATTTAGGTCACTGCATCATCTGTATTTGTTCTTAACAATATTGCAGATATGTTTATCTTTGTGTTATGGGTTTTCCAGACCCTAGGAAGTATTTCTGATTACGTCTTATAACAAAATCCCAATACACTTAAATTAGTTCCTAATTTTTTTAGAACATTTATATTTGTTAGCACTTGGAAGGTCAAATAACTGTCTTGCTTATCTTATTGTGATAATGCATTGTTGAGTGAGACGAGTTGATCAGGCACCATCTTGTTGCCGTCACATGACTTCGAACCCCTCCATTTGAGTCAAGTTAGAAATGGATGCACAACATGAACACTCAAATGACATTAAACCCAGGACGTTAACAAACAACAGCCAATACATTATTAGTGCATACAATTGTTCTGAAGCAAAATAATCATCAGATCAAGTTTGATCAAAATGTGTGTTGGTGAAAGTTTTGAGCATAGGTATGTTTTCATTAATTACTGAAGATCTCACCTTGTGTAGCTTAATTTGTAACATAACTTCAGCGGCAAGTGGCCAACACCTTGATGTGTCCAATGGGCTTTGAAAATTCTATCCTGCTTATATCATTAAGCAGGTGGTGACATATTGTGGAAGGGCTCGAAAATAGGTGAGGCTAATTAAAAATGTGGCTTGCGGTTACAAAAAAAGTGATATGAATTTCTTTAGATTGGAGCCAAGTTCAGTGTTAAAAGATTTTACTAAAAGTATGTACTTTAACATTGGCTTGATATGCACTGTTTAAAGTTCTGCTTTATTATCATGTGAAACACTTGGTACGTAGCTTTATAATAGGCTTGTCTACTAGGCTAAAACTAAAGACATCTAGGCCTAGTTCACGTCTTTGCAAACACTGTAACTAGCCAGGTCGATATTTATTGCCAGGTGCTAGGGTTAACGGTAATTCCTGTCCTTGAAAAAAACTTATACTAAAACAACCGGTTTATCAAACGACCTAACCACGAAACTACTGGGAAACGACTGTCACCGACAGAACCCTGCTTCCGTTGAGAGCCTTGTCTTGACTGGTTGGGACCAGCTCACAGCTCTTGGCTACACTGGGCTATAGACCTAAATTACGGCGCTGACAAACCAAGAATCATATAAGACTATGTCTAGAAAGTTAGAACATGTAGAAAGACTACCTTATAAGTGACTGATGCCACACCCAATCGCACCAAATACCCACCTGTATGTTGTCAGCACTATCTTGTTTACAACGATGATGAGAAAAGAGGCGACTCCATAAAATACGGCAGAGTACAGTCGTTGGAACAGTGACACCGAATCCCCTGAAGCAGACGACATGATGCCAGGCTTATTGTTGTATTCTTACAGAAATGGAATGAGATAATGAATCTAGTCAGGAGAATGACATTTCCCAGTGTGCAGTCAAGCAAAGTGACAGACGAAGGAAAACAGTCTGCGCGTGGTCCGTGTTTGACAGCTGTACAGGAAGTGTGGATGAAGTTATCCTTCGCTAATGTTCGGTGATTTCCGTATAAACTAGGGCCTGTTATTACGATTCGCTTGAAATTTTATGCGCGATTCGTGCAAAATGTCAAAATGATATTTCTTTATTTACGGATTCGTAAATGTCCGACGCAGGAGACCCAAATGAGAAGGGGAAACTATTACAGTTTTGTCTTAAGTCAATTTAAAATAGATCTACATTGATAAGATAAGAATTATTGAGTATAATATGTCCTTAAAAACATGTTTTCATTTTATGCAACAATTAAACAAAGTGCATATTTCAACTAAAATCAGTTAAAACGTGATATGATGTTTTTGTACGTTGTGTGCAGCTGCAAATAGGTTTCTTCGACTTTGAAACTTATTGCATGCTGCAATTTTATAAAACACGTTTCCCTTTCATTGCATAAATGTGTGTGAGTGAGTGAGTGAGTGAGTATGGTTTTACGCCGCTTTTAGCAATATTCCAGCAATATCACGGCGGGGGACACCGGAAATGGGCTTCACACATTGTACCCATGTCGGGAATCGAACCCGGGTCTTCAGCGTGACGAGCCAACGCTTTAACCACTAGGCTACCCGACCGCCCCCCATAAATGTGTGTAGGCTATATAAAATAAAACGAGTTTAAATTTAAGTTATTTTATTCATGTACTATTCATACATAACACCCACAGTAAAGTGGAAGAATATACAAAATCTGAGTGAGTGAGTTGGGTTTAACGCCGCTTTTAACAGTATTCCAGTTATATCACGGCGTGTCAGCTTAATGTGGGAGGAAAGCCCGAAGTGATGCAGGTCTCAGATGTTTACCACTTCGGTGAAACTCACGAGCACGGGTATGGTGCTGGCAAACCTAGAAACACAATCGGGGCGAACCGATTAGATTCGAACCTACAACTATAGGTTTCTGGCGTGCCAAAAGGGACGCCAAAAGGGACGCAACTCTGCACAGCGAATCGCGGCGCCTTAGACGACTGGGCCACCCGTGCCCCCGTTTGTGCGGGAAGTGTCTTGTGAGTTGTTCCCCATAGATGTAGCCGGGCAACGCAGATCAATCGGTTTTGGGAGGAAAGGTACAGATAATCGACTTGAGAATATGTAAGAATATCTGGGAAATACCAAACGTAAGCCCCTTGTTAATAAACTAGACTTGTCACCGACATTGCCGAGATCGGATTGTATTCATGGAGTAACCATTATTTAAATAGGGGTACATATTTTGTAAAAACTTTTTATTACCATCCTTAAAGAGGCTGTTCAAAATGTTGATATCTCATAAAAGACTCGTGGTCGTTGTTTATCGTGCAATAAAACACAGCAGGGAGAATAAACCACTGTGTGTCCTCGTGGTTTATTCTACCTTCAGTGTTTTATTGTACGATAAACAACGACCACGAGTCATATATTTCTTAAATATAAGGCAAATACATTGTTGTGTTGAAGCGGTATGACGTCACATTGAAGCATTGTTGGTTGCAAAAAAGTATGACATCATCCATTGTTCATGACGTCACAATCGTACCATTACATCATCTATTGTCTACCACAACACCTCCGTGACTGCAGTCAACTGCCTACTTTCCTACTTTTCTTAAAATAAAAATGGGCAACACATCGAATACCTATTCGACAGATGACAGTTAACGTATGGATCTAATGAGGTTAAACGGAATAAGCGATCGTAAGCAACATGATAGTGATCGAACCCGGATCACATAAACCGCAATGTTTAACGACCCACGTCACTGAGATTCGATGACATACCTTGTAGCCAAAATGGATAGAATTATCAATAAACCGCCCGCATGTTATCAGAAATCGGTGGGCCACTGTAACTTGATAATGCCCTCATATTGCTTGACGACGGGCCATTATCATAGGGGATAATGGAAGACCTCGGGCTTCTGCAAATGATAATGCCCTGAAAAATAGCGTTACCCTTATAATAAGGCAGCCATTGGTGCAAGTTGCGACGTCATACTTATGGATTAACTGACAAATCAGCATTGAGAATCTTTCTGGGAAATATTTATGTATTACACACTGTCAGTCGCCATTGTAATCAACCGATCCCCATTTCAGTCCACTTGTACTGCAGTCACGTAACTCAAAACCGGGGCTGAAGGAAAGATATAACTTCCACCTATATCAAGTTGCCTTGAAACCAGTGATGCAGACAAATCGATAGCGTCAGCATCGATCAAGACTGATCTGTCTTTTTTAGCATTAGACGGAAGAAAACCAAAGCATCGGGGGAAGAGGTATCAAGAAATGAAACCATCTTTCTTTAAGTGATCTTGAACGGAACCCAGTACCGCTTTAAAACCATTAAACAACCATGGATGAGTGAGCGCTCGGCAAGCTAAATGCTCGGAGTTTTAGAGTCTGTGCCCTTGCCCGAACTGAAACACAAGTAACTTTTATCAATAATTGCTTCAGTTCATCAAGCAGCGAAGAGGTACCCGGTGGGATTGGCTTGGATTGTGTTCTCAAGGAGCTGAGAATGAAATTCGTTATGCACACTGGCCGGTTGACCGGAGTTTAAGTGTAATGTGTTTCTAGCGTATATTTCCATGGTGGGGAGTTCTGTGCTGAATAACTGGTCTCTCATTATCGAAAATATTTACCTTGTTTGTCATCTGCTTCTTCGGTCTTGCTTTGCTCTCCCATACTGAAAATGAAGCAAATCATCATCATCATCATCATCATCATCATCATCAGACCACCCCCGTAGTCGAGTGGTAGAGTGTCCGCCCGGGACCCCATTTCACCTCACCTCACATCATCATCATCATCATCATCATCATCATCATCATCATCGTCATCGAGTCATCATAATCATCATCATCATCATCATCATCATCATCATCATCATCATTCCGTTGGTATTCCGTGTGAATCTCTATATCACATTACACGGCAATTATGTTTTGTTATTCCGGAGATGAGTTACTCGAGATAATTTAACCTGGGACATTGACGGGGTTTCACTGGAGTACCTACACTGCCGATGACACCGCCCCGTGTATATAGTGGGGCAGATGAAGTACAAAATATAGGCGAATTGTTCAAATGGTGATACACGTATGAACGTTTAATTCAGAAAATATAAGATGACCGTCCAAGTTCAAAATGGCCGCCTTTTGTTTCCATGATGACTCAGCTTAACGCGTCTTTCATATCCTCCAAGTCAGCCTTGAAAAATGTTCTCAATGCATTTCCAAATGCATCGTCAAGCAGGGTGTCTGTTTTTATCAAAGCTGATACACATATTTATGATTAACAATATGCTTTATATTTGTAACCTCTACTGATGCCATTGAATGTGTACCGCTCCATCAATGTCAGATACTGATATCTTGACTGAACATCATTAGCGTGGTTAATTACGATGCATCGATAATTTGATCGATCCTTACATCCTCTTCATATAGACACCCGCTGTCCATGCTCAAATGTGAACTTTCTTGTAAGCCAGGATAAGTCGTGACATGACAATTAGCCCCGTATGACTGTGTAGGAGGTCCGCACACTGCCGCGTACCATTATGAAGAAAGGGGTAGCGGGGGGTCCGCGACAAGTAGTACGATGGATATGTGCGTGTCCTGTTTTGGCTGACAACGATGCGCTTTAGTGTTGATACAGACTAGCCAGTGGCAATGCTTGCTTATGAAAACGCTTGGATTGATTGTTAAATTCTTTTTCCATGTTATTAATGACATTATATGACATCTCTCCATTCTGATAATGTATGATTTGGCCACGCTTACCTAGCTTTGACATGTTTATGGGTTTTTAATTAATTAATTAATTAATTTCTATCAAACGACTTTAAGAGATTCTGGCATCGGCTTGTCACCCCGACCTCTCAGTAGTCTTATGAGCAACACGTGTATCCACGGGAGCGTAGTCATGACCTGCACGTGCACAACATGGGTACACCCTCTCTACCTGTAACAAGTCAGTCTGGCCCCGACTCTTCGATTTGGTAACATGATTTTCATGGATAATGTTTGTTTTTTGTTTGTTGTTTAACGCCGCACTCAGCAATATTCCAGTTACTGGCGGTCTGTAAATAATCGAGTCTGGACCGGACTAGACAATCCAGTGGTTGACATCACGATCATCGATCCACGCAACTGGGATGCGATGACATGCTTCAAACCAAGTCAGCGAACCTGACCACCCGATCCCGTTAGTCGCCTCTTAGGACAAGCATAGACGCCTTTTATGGCAAGCATGGGTTGCTGAAGACCTATTCTACCCCGGATCTTCACGGTTACCGACTCTTTGAAGGTTCATACTACATTGAACTCACACAAAGTCAATGTCAATTCTCAAACGAAGGACACGTTCTACGAGACTGTTCTTGAAATGACGAAAACATTGCTTGTTGTTTAACGCCGCACTCAGCAATATTCAACCTATATGACGGCGGTCTGTAAATAATCGAGTCTGAACGAGACAATCCAGTGATTCATATCATGAGCATCGATCCAAGCAATTGGGATACGATGACATGCATCAACCATGTCAGCGAGCGTGACCACCCGCTCCGTTAGCCGCATTTTACGGCAAGAATGGGTTGCTGAAGACATATGCTACCCCGCATCTTCAGGGGTCTGCTACAACAAAGAGCTCAGATTCAAGGAAAACAAGCTGTTGCATTAATGTCCGAAACACTTTTACAAGTTACAGATAACCCTTTGTTAAGAATTAATTTCATAATTTTGACGTAGATTGGTTTTGGGACTGTTTTGGCTTGTCTTGGCGTGGTACCGTTTGCCAGGTCACAATGACCAAGGTAGTGGGGGAATTAACTTGGTAGAGATGATTTCTCGGCTATCACCTTAAAATTGAGAGATTATAGAGCGAGATATTCAAACAGTATTCCATAACAAGATGGATGCAGTTAATGACTTATCACATTAAATATCAATTTGACAACAGAGTAATATAACTTCTAAATAACCAAATAATAGTGATTTACATTATTCAAGGTTCTATATTTCATATGTTTCGTAAATAGTACCATCAATAATACACCACTGTTCAGATGGCAGTGTGGTAGAACGTGTATGGCTTGTGACATGATTGTTTTGATAAATAGTGAGTGAGTATGGTTTTACGCCGCTTTTAGCAATATTCCAGCAATATCACGGCGGGGAACACCAGAAATGGGCTTCACACATTGTACCCATGTCTAGAATCGAACCCGGGGTTCGACGTGACGAGCGAATGCTTTAACCACTAGGCTACCCGACCGCCCCTTTTGATAAATATGTTAATACAGTTACAAAAAGCGGATTGTGTATAGTAAAGGACTTGGAAGTATTTTAATTTATTCTAACTAAGACATTTCATACAGGAACAGTTAACATTTACATTTACGGCATTCTTGCGTTACTGATGTATTTACATACAAATGTATTTAACACACTGCATAATTTCTATGCCGTAAATGCTTAACCAAATGATAGACGTAGCATGACCAATATTCGCATGAGACGGTATTTACGCGAGATTACCCGCGGGTATTTACCACTATGTACTCTTTCTCATGCTATGTAATGTACGGCTTTATCTATCACTTGGCCTATCAACAGTTAATGTACAAGTGAACAAATCTACTAATATCGAAATAAACACACACACATAAAATTAACATTCAAGTTGCTTTGCGGTAGAATACATGAAACATGTAAATGAAATATAACTTACTGTTAAATATATCAAGCGATGGTAAAATATAGTGGCGTACATATGATATCATTTAAGTTTAAGGCAAGGAGAATTTGACAAGAAAGTAATGTTATCATATCTTAAAACAGAGAAAAGGCTGCTGAGTCCCTTGAAGTCTTTATCCGTGGTAGAGTGAAGTATCTGCCACTGGACTCCGTACATTTGGACTCAGACTCTTTACAATGCGCAAGTTACCTAATATTGAAGCTATGATCTAAATCTGCCAAATGCCTGGTGTATTAGTTACAATTATTCGTTAGTTACGGAGTGCACTGACCACGTAATATACTTTATATTCCAACCTATCTGATATTAAAATGATGGCGCGTCCGACCATACAGAGCACGTTACAGCCTAGGACATAACCCTAGCGGTGCCAGTTGACTGCGTCAGGTAATGCAGAGTCGCTGGTTTGTGACGGTCAGTTACGTGGACGGCAACTGACTAACATTATCTGCAGAAATATATTTAGGTTTGGCTAGTTGTAAGATAATATATTGAGAAAAATACAACACGTATTATTGAAAAATGACCACTATAATAATGGATTAATTATAGTTATTTTAGAACTATGACAATATCTGTCCAAGAGCCTACATTTCGGCCTTCGGATGGTAGCCCAGGGTGGAGACGGAAGACAAAACTCAAGGTTTGACGTTAAAGACGACAGCAGCCATGTTTATTGTTGATGGGTTGGAATAGGTCGAAAGGGTCTAGTTAATAATAACGTGACAGAACGCACACCGGGACCGGGTGGCCAATATTCCCGGGTGGGGAGATCCGCTCTGTCACTTACACCAGTCGATGATCTGCCTGTCTCTCTGACTGACAATGTCAGTCAGGTTTTATAGATAGAGGTATTACATAGCAAGGGGCAAGGTCATTGACCCACGTGTATGTATATACGTAAGATCCGGTGACCTAAGGAGGTGTTGATTGACATTTATAAATAGCGCTGGAGATTTGGGTTCCTGCTTATGATAAAAGGGGATACGCCGAATGTTTGCTGAATATATTAAACAGCCAAAGGGCATAGAATTTCGGTGCACTTGGAAACATATTGAACCAATCAGGTATTTAAAATAAATGAAGCTTTAATTAAAAGTATTGAAATGGGCTGCACTATAACAATTTCAATGATAAACTATTCGTATTAGGGATTGGAAAGTCAAGATAAATCCTCTCCTACCGAACGTTTAATTGTTGCTGTATTGTGTCTACATTTCGTGGCAAATAAAAGCAGAGTACCTTCATGTCAAACATGACATGAAATGTTCAAACTGAGGAATGCATGTTATTCCCTTAAATTTATACCAAAAGTCGCTTAAAGATGGTACTTGTTGTTACCCTGTCTGGCGCTCGGCATTAAGGGGCTAAAACAAGGACAGGTCGGCTATATCGAAGTCAGTATTTTCACTGCGGCATGGTATCTCAGTGGGCTAGCACTATAAATCGGCTTCAGTCCGGACTAGTTCAAGCAGCCACACACACGCACGTGCATGCATGTCGCTATATAGGTGCAATAATCTTGGACGCGACGTCAAACCCAAATTTCATCTCACCTCATCTTAGGTGCAAACAAACATGGATGTGTATATACCAGGAGTTGTAAGGATAAGTCATACCCCATTTGTCAGACACCCCAGTTGCTACACAGTGGAGTCAAAACATATTATATTTTCCTGTTGTGGAGATTGACAAGTCCATAAAAACCAATGATCCTCTCTATCATTAGGATCAAATAAATGAAGACGTTTGAAGTCAATGCTCGGATACAATAGGAATATGTATTGTTTTACTTAATACCCGTATATATTTAACCAATGAACCATCTGATCATGAAAGCAACGTTAATGTGGAAGTTCTCACCTCAGCTTCTTACGAGAATATTGAGTTTTGTCAATTTATATGTTTTACAAAATTGTATTA